GAAAAAATTTTGTTTGGTTTTTGAGTTTTTCCTGAAAAACTCATTTGTAAAGAAGAAATTTTCCCAAAAGGTTTTTTTTGGGGAAATTCCAAACCAACGAACCCCCTATGTCCCTTCAAAGCCCTATATTTTAAGAAGAAGCCCCCGTTTGGGCCTTTTCCTAAAGTTAATATGCAGCTTTTTATTCTCCTTGAACTGGTTTTATGTGAACCCCTAGCTATAACAAGTAGTTCAAAAAAAATTAAACATTTCCTTCTTTTTATGCCAATAACATAAATTTTATTTACCCCATTTAAAATTGGATCCCCTAGCCCTGGGTGGTTTTTTTATTAAACAATGGAAATAGAATTTTGGAAATGTGACCCTGTTAAAATGCAAAAATGGGACCAGAAAATTGAATATGGTTTTAAAACAGAAATTGCAATTGGCTTTTTTATGCCTTTATGAATAATGTTTCAAGTGGGTACTCTTTTCCTTGCATCCCTTTTTTTAGGTTTAAAAAGAGGAATTGCAACCAAATTAACGTGGAACATCATTTTCCCTGCTCTTTCCAAGTCAAAGCTTCCATGTATTGTTTTTTTAACCATTGTTTTGAAAGAAAAATTGAAAAATGCTTCCCAATTTTGGGAAATGTTTTTTTAAAGAAGTTCCGGGTCAGCCTGGGTCGACAGACCGGCCGCGCCAAAGAAATTAGGACTACAGTTTTTCTTTCTTTTTTGTTTGTATCGCATCTTCTTCTCTTATGAATTCTTACCAATCACATTTTAATTGATATTAGCATTCTGTTGCATTCTTTTTCCTTTGAAAATCATAATTTTCACTAGGATTGGGCAATAGAAATCAAAAGAATCAATAAATTTGATCCAGAACTGCCAATATATCAATCTGCACCAACCTTCGTCCATAACAAAAAAAGAGCAACTAAAAGATAAAAATGTTGGAGGCACCTGGAATTATAATGAAAACCACAATTAAACACCATGATTTGGAAACATCAATAAAAAAGAAATATAAATAGGGTCTTAAACTTTCATTTCAAATCCAAAAAATGATTTGGTGTCAAATATGGATGAGATCTGCTTTGAAAGTTTGTGAAGTCAAACTTGGTGGAGAATAAATACATACAGTCTACCTTGGGTCAAGTTTTAAAAAACATAACCCACAGACTATGGTTTTTTTAGCAAGTGGACTTGGTTAGAAAATGTTATCTAACAACTTGTTTTTTGATTCTATGCATTCCTTTTCCAGAGTCATGTAAATAGAATGCTGCCAATATTTTCATGTGTTCCTCCAGAATTAAAGCCTCAATTTCACTGATTTGATCTGGCTAACTTAAGTTTTTGAATTTTGTAATGAGGCAATAAGGTTATATAGAGAAGGTATACAGACAGAAAAAAGAAAAAGTAAAGACAACACAAAGGTTTAACGTGGTTCAGCCAATTATTGGCTTTAACATTCTACACACACGCAAAAGCCCTAAAGGGATATATCTTTCATTCACTCAACTTTAATACTCTTGTTTACATGATACACCATATATATAGAATGAAAGATAACATCAATCCCTTCAGTCAAGGAATTGAAAATAAAACCAAAGATATATAAAAATCATAATTAAGAAACAATCATGGGATTTCTTCAAATATATTTCTGATATCTTCTAATATCTTTGATAATATAATATTATCTGCAACACTTTCCCCTTAAGTTGGGAACCACGGAACAGTTTAAGTGAAGTGTTCCAAACTTTTTGAAAATTAATAATGATCATTACAAACAACTACAATGAAGTTGCCGAAGGAACCAAAAACAACAATTGTAATCACTCCCTTAATTGACAACTTCAAGAACATAGGCAAGGACATCAAAGCATCTTGGGCAAAACAAAGAAACGGGCATGGGAATCTAGTCCAAACGGCAGCAAGGAGAAAATCAAACCGAGAGAGATGAAGCAAAACAAGGCTTTGAGACAAGCGACAAATCACCACAAACAAAAAACTTGCAAAAGCAAGCGTCCCACAAAGAATGCTACGGAAACGACACACCAGTTGTTCCAAAAAACAAAAAAAGAACCAAATATGGGTGCTTGCCACATCAACATAGGGAATCCTAAAAAGAGAAAGTAGAGTAGTAGTCGGAAAACTTGGCATATCATAAGAACAATGCTACCAAAACACACCGATAGTCCCAAAAATAAGTAAAAGTCCACAAAGTTTTGCTTTACCACATCAGCAAACTATTGGTTCAACTTAAGAGAAGAAAAACTCCTTTGAATAAACAAAAAAAAAGGTGGGAGTTAAGAAAAGCACTCCAGAGAAAACAAAGCCCTAGGGGTTTGGTAGGCTTTGATACCAAGTTTAATTTTGTTTTTAAAGGCAATAAGGTTGAATATAGAGGAGAAATAATAGAAGACAGAAAAAAGAAAAAAGTAAGAACACAAAGGTTTTAAACGTGGTTTTTGGCCCAATTATTGGCCTACATCCATACACCCAAAGCTTTTAAAGGGCTACATCTTTTTCATTCCACTAACTTATACCTCTTGTTTTATCTTAATACACCATACAATCAAATCCCATTTCAATTAAGTTGGTTGCAAAATAATAAAGAATAACAAAAAGATCATAATAAAAAATAAATCATGGGATCTTCCATAATATTCTGATGTTTCTATATCTTCTAATATCTTTTTTTGGGATAAATAATATAATATAATCTTCCAAACAACTTATAGGGATTGGCAATTTTACCCGCAAAGTCAAGGACCCACCCCACCTTATTAGGATGAGGGATGGGAAACATTTGATACTGCAGTAGAGACCAGGGGTGGGCTAAGAAGATTAACCCATATTAAGTTTGAATGGCCAGGATTTTGACCCACCCTGGCTTAACCCCACCCTGGAGCAGGATTGGCTTCAAAAATTTTTAATCCTTTTTATTTTATCATATACAAACAACAATCTTTTTTCCATGTCTTCCCATTTGGTAGTATAATAAAACCCTTTCTATTATGTGTTACAAAATCAATGGTGGGACGGGAGCATGAAGGAATAGATCCTTGGTGAAAGAATACAATTGTATAATCAATTAATTCCCACATCAGTTTTTGGATACTAAAGCTGCCTCGTGGCATCCCACATGTTTATTAGGGTAAGGTTCATGCACTATTGTGTTGTGAGAAATCTTTGGAATCCCATGGAAGATAGTGAGCTTATGATTGCCGCCAAGCTAAGTAGTAAGGTTTACGACACGGATACGTCAAACAAATGTTCAATTTTTCAAAAAAAATGCAGCACACAATATTGCTTGACACACATTAAATTTAATATTTGTATAATTTTATTATATGTCAAATATTGAAAAAAAAAGCAACATAATAGTTACAAATTATTATGAAAAAATGAAACATAAACACTAACTAAATTAAAGAGTCCCATATATTTCATAATTTAACATCAAGATATCAATTACAAAAAAATCGCAATCTAAAAGAATGCAAAATAATTGGGTTTAGAACATAGGGATAAAAATAATGTATCCATCTTTTATAAATGTTTCAAAACATATTTTAAAGTACATAAGTTTGCCATTTTGAAGAAATTATAGAACAACGTTTCTATGAAGAGATTCCATCAAATAGGTCATTGTTCGGATAGTTCAAAAAAGTGTCGCCAAAGTAATCCGAGAAGTGTTATGTAAAGAAATATGAATTTAGAGTTT